ATAAACAGATTACTCAAAGCAAAAAAAACCCCCAACCATTTACTGGGACACTGTGCAGAACCAAATGTAAAAAAACCTTGCTGGCTCTGCACTGCTGGACATGCTTGCACTATGTGCACCCTCACCTTCTTGCAAGCCTTGGGTTCCAAAAAAAACCCAGAGGAGTGTCTGTGATGGTCAAAAATGCCTCTGACTAACCATTGCTCTGTTTTTTTCTAGGGGAACTAATTCTTTTTCAGGTCGTGTCATATTAGTGTGATCTACATACTCATATGTACAGTAAAATGGTCCAAAAAATTTTATGAACTACAGAAGCAGGCAGATATGTTTTATTCTGTAACACACATTCTTACTGGTGATGGGGTTAAAGAACAGGCTTAAGGTAGAAAACACCAAGTAATTTAAATCTGTCAATAGTTGTATTTTTAAACAGAAGACTGCTTTGGAATTTCAGTAGTTAATTTCTGAATAATTATTTTCACAGAAGAGTTATAACTCCAGAAAAATTAGTTTGCTCCAAGTGATTTGGAGGAATGAATAGACACTATTAGAAAGATCGCAACCACAGAAACATGACCATAAAGATGTGGCAAAATGATAACCAGTAAGAAAAAAAAAACGCTCCCTGTATTCTCCTGTAGAATCAAAAATCCAGAAGAAATTGAGAGTTAAAAAAAAACAAAAAACAACAAAACCAAAAAACCCCACACCAAACCACAAACTCACACCGTATATTGAACAGCCTAAAGTGAAGGCTCAGCCCTGGAAGAAACTGATCTCCTGTGGTAAGAACATGTGGCCTCTAGTCCAAGCACAGGACTGTGAGTCAAGGCTCCTGACCGAATTCCCAACTTCAGCAGTGACGCAGTGGAAGAGCTCAGAGCCACCTTCAATTTAGAAGTAAGATACCACAGTTATAAAAGGCACAGGTATTTTTCAGAGATTACACAAAGGTCAGAGTCTGCAACTAATCTCAACTCAAACGTTTTCAAGATCATTTACCACATAACCATTGTTTCATGCAACAGATTTAGCAAAGCATTTGCTGTTAAATATTTTATAAATAACATTTTACAAGATTCTTTATGTTTTAGAAAAATATAAGTAATCCTCTTTGGCTATAAAACCCAAAGCAGTGAAATCCATAAACATACTAACACCACACATGTTCCTAGGGGTGTGAACAGCAATGAGCAACCACAAAGACACTAACCTCTGCTCACTGTGGCTCCCCTTCCTTGCCCCATACAGAACTGGCTCCCTCACAGGGCACAGTCTCCCTGACTGGTCAGTCCCCTGTGGCAGGAGCAGAGCTGAAGCATTTCTTTCAACAGACTTCCAAACCAGATTAGGAAAAATCCCAAACACTGAGGTTCTTGCCCCCAGGCACATGTGTGACCACACTGGCAGGCACCTGAGAAAAAACAAACTGCAGCAGCAACTCTATGATATATAACAGAAAACCTATTTAATCATTGTGTTGTAACATGCTAGAAACTCTCAGCATATCTCAAAACAGAAGGCCACAAGCTCCTCAGAATCCAAAAAAGAATGTCAAGCCACTTACTACTGTAAAGATTTTTGTAATATCAACTGGTTCAGGCACTAGCAAGAAATGAACCTTTCCAGTTTAAAAGAAAAAAGCCCAGACAATAATTATCCCCCCCCCCCCCTCCCCCCCCCCCCGAACATACTGTAAAGCTTCAGCAAGAGTTATTAATCTGTCATTGCAGGGAGACAGGCTTCAATCTGCAACCCAATTGAAACTCATTAAGCAGCAGCAATCTCTTTGCTGACACTGTCATTTCATTTTGAAGGTTTGACATAAGGGGAGGATGAAGGGGAAAGGGGCAGGAAATGCATTCATCTCAGCACAGCTTTGGGTTCAAAGACCCCACAATAGCTATAAGGAGAGCTGTTAACTATAGATAAACCTGTTTTCTTCCTATGGGGAGTTCTGCATCCCAGCCTCAAGCCTTAGATTATTTGAAGGATATTTAAAGTGACAGATGTGTGTGGTGGCCTTCATTCTAGAAACCATTTCTAGGGGTTTCTGATTAGGACTGGGGCCCAAGCAAAGTCTTGGGAAGAAAGAACAAACATGAAGAACTTTGAGCAAGGTGAACGAATTGAAATCTGCATCAGAAAGGTTTTCACTCCTCTCGAGGAGAACTTCCCAGTACTTGCTTCTTCCAAAGGTCTTTTTGCACCAAGCCCCATCTATTTACTAACCTGTAGAACTGCAACAGGTTTCAGGTTAACTGAATTTTCAAGGAAATATTTTGTGCTGAGGTAAGCCCCACACTCTATAGCTGTTGGCAGAAGACTAACCGGCACTTGTAAACAGGGTGGTTTGTGGCTTACAGGGAAATGCACCAACTCAAAAGACAGAAATAGCAGCAATATGACAACTCCGATTTCTGTGATCATCATGTCTGACCATGAAGGTCCTGTTATTGCAACATCCAAACCCATGCAGTCTCAACAGAAGAACTAGCCCATTCCTAGAGGCAACCTGCTACTTATAGACATCTCCCTGAGCAGAGCTGAGAAGCCACATGTTCCCTCTGTTTTACCTTTCTGGGTGACGGCTCCAAGCATGAGCACTTTGGTGGCCATTGCCTTCCCACAAAAGCACTACAATTCTCAATTCCACTCTACAGCTGTTTAACCCCCTTGACCCAGCTATTCTGACATCCATCCCACTTTACATGCTGGGAACCAAAAAAGCCAAGGAATATTCTTCTAGGACCTTATGGACAGCTGAACAGAGGATCAAAGAAATCTACTATTATTTGCCCAGGACTGCCTTTTCTGCTTTCATATATAGCATAAAATTTAAGCAGTTGTTTTAGTGCTAACTGCAGAAGCCAGGCAAATGATGGCTGCTGCAATCTGTGGTGCACAGTTTTGTGACACTTCTGTCTTCCTGACTGATTCCCACAAGCTAGAGAGGAAGAAGAAAGATTGCGCTTCAAGCTGCAACAAGAAAAGGTAGCCAAAGCTCAGCCTGGTCCAAGCAGCACATTGTCCAGAAGTCCCACAGCTGCAATTTCCAATCTCCTATGCAACCTGTTACCACCCTCCTTCTCCCTCCTGAACGAGTACAAGCTTTACCTTAGTTCAGCCAAACTCACCCTACAGTTCCTAGTCAATAACTTCTTGCTCTGCTCCCACTACAGACTGATGCCTCCTAGCCTCCTCTGGCCTGACATTCTGCCATCCCTTCCAGCCTTTTTAGCGGCAGCAGTGCCAGCACACCGTCCGAGCAACCACATCCACTTCACCTCTCCTCTGCATCCCACCTCAACTCTAACCCCAGCAAGTCTCACCAGTGACACTGATGTGGTTGGGAGCCTATGATTTTATGTCCACTCCTAGACCAAAGGTGCCAGCTGAATGCTAGTAAGATCAGATTTATTAGATATAAAGAGCATCCAATTCCCACTGTGTGGAATAATCTGACCCATTGACATCCAGAGCAGCTACTGATACCACAGGGGTTTGCTGTAAGACCCCATGGCAGGGCAGAAAAAAGTAAGGAGTAAAACATCTTTCCAAAGAACAATCTCCCTTACATGAGCAGAATCACTGCACATCCCATGAGCTTGCTCTTACCCTAGCCCTTTTAAGTGATAAAGCTATTTATTTATGCTGCCTTTTGGCCATTCACTCCTCTCCCCTGAACATTCTCTCAAACAAATACAATCTCAAGAGCAAACATAAGAGATGTTCAGATTGAACCAGCAGGTTTTCCCACACAAACTGTTTCAATAGAACAACTCCCAAGTCTTGGGTTTAGACATATGCAAAATAATCACTATAAAGCAATTCTTGCATCCCAAGTTGGATGGATATCCTTTCAGGAAGATACCAAAGCCTGAAGTTTAAGGGATGCTTCATATAAGCATAACCAAAATATCCTCCAAACTTCCTTAAGCTGTTTCTCATAACATGATTTTTATTAATACAAGGGGTTAAATATGTCTAAACTACTTTGGTTAGAAAATTGGTTAAGTCAACTTGCTTTTAAAAGAATTAGCTGCACATGGTATGTATAAAAACCCAGAAACTTACACATTTGCCATCAGAAGCAAAAACAGCTCCCACTTCCTATAAAACTAGAGGACAGGGGACAGACTCACACCCCCCCACACAATGTAGCACAGAGAATAAGCAAGCGATGAAACCAAGCACTGCTGCTCACCATGCATGTCCTCTAACATTTTTGCATACACACGTTTAAGCCATCAGCTACATTACTGCTCAGATGTAACCTTCATGGCCTTTTCTTTTTACTTTTCTATTTAGATTTTTCAAGTGAAATACAGCATAAGCTAATTCTGGCTTCACTTCACTTTCACTTCTCCAGAGATACTCTTTTGTTAGACTAAGAAAATGCTTGACAGAATAATACAAGTGCCAGTGACAACAACATGCAATACAATGTAATGAATTTTGTCTAGCTTACAACTGCCATCCTAAACCTCAAAAAAGTACCTCATTTAATAGCGATGTGGCTGTTAGTTTAAACTATATATCTGATACCAGAGCCCTAACAAAAAAAATTCCAAAACATTGGTTTGTGTAAACAGGTTACACCACCCTGCACTTAAGTGCATCTGTCAACATTGCTCATCAGGAGAGAGCTACCCTCAGAGAACATGCAAGTCTCTACAACAAGATTTTTATTTTTCAAAATTACATGCTAGTACTATTGCTTTTGGACAATGTGGTTAAGAGATTATTATCTAGACACCTGGAAAAACACCTTTTGAAACTTTAAGAAGCACTTACTCCCAAGATTTGTTTCCATATTAATTTGCAGGTTAAATTGCAGTGTATGTGCACTTTACTAATACCCTCACAGCACGAAAGCTGGATCAGTAGCTAATACATAAAGACTGCAGATTTACTTCAGTGGAAGTATCTAGGGCAACTCATTACAAGCTTCTGTTTTTCCTCTACCAAGTTAGTTTTGGTACCATCACTCTACATACCTTGACATTTAGAGAAGCCACTAGGATAAGTGAATGGCTCTTGCCCAGAGCCAGCAGGAAACACAGCTGTCATCTCATACCCTCTTAAGCAGGTAAGCTTGCAAGCTAGAAAAGAAACCAGTCAATGCCTAGGCTTGCCTGTTCCTCCCGTTAGTGCTCTGAGCTCCAAGTCAGAAGACATGTAACTTTTCCTTTCAACCCACTGCTTGAGGCTTCCAGCCCAACGGAGCATTTTCAGCCCAACATGATACTTCCTCCATCCCAGAAACTACTTTTTAATATGTCTCAAAGTATTAGAGTTGAGTTAATTCACACACCACTGGATCTCTTTTGTGCAACTCATGGTAAAAAAGCCACAGAAGTACTGTAAATGAAGTTCATTTTTTGTGGACACTGAAAGTCCCTGGTGCACTTGAAGAGAATTCTGAATTAACGATTTGCCTTTAAAAAGCCATTAGCAGTCTGCAAGAGCTTCCACACATTCATCTTTCAGGTTGTTCATCAAAGCAGGTGGGGAAAGAAGAACAGCATTTGACTGCAAACAAAACAAATTACAAAGTATAAGCACCACCTTAAGTCTGACAGACTTCTAAAGTTCAAGCTCAAGTTCAAAATCTAAAGACATGTTAGGACAAAAATGAGATGTTCTTACAAAGAATTTGCAACTTGCATAAGAGAAAAAAGAATTATCAAAATTTCACTCAAGATTCTAGGGGGAAAAGGAAAAAAAAAAAAAAAGAAAACACACTTTTAACACACTTTTTTGGCCCCCCTTCAGATGTCAGCTGAAAGTTACTTGTTAAAACCACTTTTGAGACTTAAAATAAGGCACTTCTGTGGGTTTAAAAACTGATTTATTTATTTTTTTAATAGTTCTGGAAAACTCTCAAACCACAGAGTAGTGCTTTTCAATTTCAGCTACACGGCTTCTTACACAAAAATAATTCAAAGTGTTATCATGTTTATCATGGATTTCCTTGGTGAAACATGCCAATGTATGACAAATACTTTCAGTAATTTGTGCATGACATACTATTGGCTAAGGGTTTGCAGAAAGGAGGAAGTCACATTCTTTACTTAGGCTCCCTGAAAACCAGAAGAGGCAGCTGTTTCAATAGCAGCTTCCAACTCAAGCTAGCAAACTTGGAATACAAGGTGCAGATGATGAACACTTTCATCTACCACAAATAAATTCAACTCCTTGGAACCTTCAGACAGTTAACAATCCTGAAAATCCTGTATCCAGAGACAAAACCAGATCTCAGATCGAAGTTTGGAAATGAAAGAGCCCTCACGTTCACAGATACTGCCTAAACCAGTTTACTTAGACTGTATTTCACCAAGATTCCCCACAGCTTTTGGCAGGGGACAACAGAAAATAAGTTTGCCTTCACTGATCAGCCCCGGCTGTTCTTTTCTAGCACATCAGCAGACCTTTATCTGCTTTGACTGTTGCCATTTCACTGATGGATGCAGGCTGCATCTCTCATGCATATCCTGTGCATTCAACAACCATCTCCCTCTGGAAAAGTCTAGGTCCCAGCAAGCCACTTGGCATCAAGCGAACAACCAGAACACACAGGCTGTAGCACTATTTGAACAAGCAGCCACTGCCAAGTCACTTACCTCTTAACTCTCACCCTCCTGAAAAGGCAACCTAAGACTTCCAGCAGCTCCCACTGATCAGGAGCAAAATCAAAATCCTGCTATGCTACACAAAGTATTCTTTCTGCCAACTTCTTAAAAGATTAATACAACATGAGTATGGAGCCATAGAATTGATGATTACTGCTTTATTCTCCAGACATGGTGTGGCAAGCATACCTCTGAATTTAAAAGAGCCTGGTGAGAACTCCAAAGGCACAAGGAAATTTTAAAATAACTGCTCTCACTCCAGAGATTGCATGGTATCAGGCTTATTAAATATTAAGGCCAGACAAATTACAGAGATGTCAACAAGGCTCAAGACACTGCAATCCAACACTGACAGACTGTGTGGTCTCTGTGGTATCCTCACTTAATGTTGTTGCAGATTTTGCAAAAGGCATGCTTGCATAGAAGTAACTTGATTTTTTGTGGAGTAGAAGTGGAAAATTTCTGTCAGAACAATGAAATTTCACAGTTCCAGTTTCTGAGGAAATGTCTCATAAAAGCAAGGCAAGTTCTGTCAAATAAAATTTGTATGAGTTACTTTGCTAGGCTTAAGTCCTACCGTTATTAATGCCTGTGCTTAAAGACCTCCACAAAAGTTTTTTTTGAAGGGGATTCAAAAAAGAAAGTCAAGACTTTAGACAAAAAAAAAAAAAAAAAAAAAAAAAAGCAAGCAGTGCATATTGTCTTAACAGCTACAATACAGTCTATCACTTACTACTCCAGAGAGAAAAAAATAAAAAGTTAGGTTATGGGTATCTCCAAAGATGCTTCCATCACAGTTCTACCATTGGTTACGAAAAATTAGAAACAGTTTTAGGTATCTACCTAGTCTTCCACATCTACCTTAATCAGAACTACAGCACAAATTCATGGGACACCAGAAAAGCCACAGATGTTGGAGCAGGGAGTGCACCATGACATAGTTCAGAGGGAGAAAGAAGGCTGGGTGATGACAGGTGTAGAAGCAAAACCAAAAACACTCACCAAGAAGCAAAGTGCAAAGAAGCTGTAACAAAAACTTCATGGAGCTGCATCCCCTGACTGTTCTCTTCCCTCCATTACTGCTACCATTAATCTATCTCAACTCCAATAGCATGTTTTTGTGCAGAACACAATTTTCTAAAGCAAACTGAAGTGTCCCCATATGCAGGACAATAAACTTCATTGAGCTTTGCTTTAGAAAATTGCTCTCCACTCCCAGAAATCAGCAAGCAGAACACACAAACACTGCACTGGGTTAGACAGCTCAAATATGAAATCCAGACTCATTTCAACACAAAACTTGGATTTACTCAAAGATTGGACTTGTTACAACTCACAGGAGGCTGCTTTGCACTAGGCCCATGTCCAGTTTGTTAAAATTTGGAAAGAATATCAGCAAAGTGGGTCTCTTCCAAGAGTGACAAAGCCTTAAAGTGAAGCCAGGCTGTCTGCAGATCTGGATTCCAGGCCTGAGCCTGTAAGAGCTTCTGGGTGATGCAAAAAACCACAAACCATTTTTCACAAGGGAACATGACTTGGCATTCTTGAACAAGTAAGTATTTAGCAGTTTGCTTTGCAAGAGTAGTAGGATTTCCAAGCTTCACTGATACAGAAGAGACTATCTGGGAGCATAAAAAGAGAGAAAATCCCAATTGCAGGCATCAAAATGGACAACTAAAAGAGATTCAGTGAATGCTTTTGATCTTGTTCCTTGCCACTACTCCTTACCTGCAAGATGCAGTCATAGCAATTCCCTGCAAACACATCACAGAATTTAACAGTTCTGTGAACCCCCAGAGAGTAGCAATCATGTTCCCAAGAATAGGAAAAGGAAGGAAGAAAACTTTACAGAGACATGTTACATGCTAACAGCTCCATATACCCCAAGCTCTGTTCCAGAAGCTAAGAGGTAACACTGTAAGCAGGCCTTTCAAGTCGACTGTATGAGGTCATTTACTGTTTTGGACACCCTTTGTCTCCAACAATATCTTGGAATTGACCTCCACTGCTGCTAGAAACACAGTATCCTTGAGCTCAAGGTAAAGCACAAGTTGGGCTAGTGCTGCTAAAGCTGAAGCATGGGTGGGCAAGGTACACTGACACAAAAATGACAAAGCATTTTTCCTAGAGTGGATACACACAGAGCACAGGTTGGTCTAGTACACTTCTGGAGTGTGACAGTTATTGCTTCTCCGGTTTCCAAAACACCTGATGAAATGTCCTAGGAATCCACATGGTCATGGGATATATAATAACAAATGGACATTGTTATTTGAATTTCTGTGCCAAAAGTAGCATGGAAGCTGGTTCATACAAATGTACTACACGGGGTAGTTCCTTCAGTGTGACCTATCAAAATTATCAAATAGCAACATGGAGAAAAAAAAAAAAAAAATCTGACATGACTATAGCAATGCAAATACAGCCTGATAGATAACAGCTGGGCAACCAATGCCTATCAAAGTACAAATATTCAATTAACAACTTCTATCAGCAATAATCACAGATGTCCTGATGTCAGGAAATGCAGTCACACCAATTCCCAGCAAACCAGGAAACACACATACATTAGCAGGGCTTCACAAAAAAAGCACAATGCTGTGTGCTCGTCTACTAGTATCAAATACCCTAAAGATGGCAAGTGTGTGCAAACTAATTTCACCGAAAAAACTAAAAAAACAATATTCAAAATATGCACCCAGATGGCTTATATAGTGCTATGTCTTCCTCAAGGGAAAATCTCTCCCCCCTCGATTCCATCCCTCTAAGTGTGTGTGTGTATATATATATATATGTATATATATATATGTATATATATATATGTATATATATATATGTATATATATATGTATATATATATGTATATATACACACACATACATACACACACATACATATACATATATATATATACACATATACACACACACACACACACACACATATCTTAAACAGCTACTATTTTGAAGCTCTTAGTTTGCTATTCAGAGGCTTTTTATGCAAGACTTGTTATTAGTAACAAACTGTCACTAGCAAAATACCATTGAGGAAAGATTACCTAGAAAAATAGGTGTCTTCAAAAAGCACCACTAACACTTGCCACTTCAGTAGCTGTATGAAAGTCTCCAGGTTTGCTTGTTGACTAATCAAAAATAGATTCTATAGTAAAAAGTCACAGGTCCTTCAGATCAGAATATTTATGCTGTGCGCAATAAATAACGCTCACGTAAGTGCTATGTTTTTTGCACAATAGTAACAGGTGTTAGATTTGGTTTGTGTGGTTGCTAAACCAGCTTGTACCAACGGAATCAGAAACCCCCATCAGTCACGAGATGTGTCCATTCTGATCTGCACAGTCAGTGCCAGGTACTCTAGGTATCCATACCCTGCAAAACGCTTTACCAAACAATTTCATTCTAAATCTTTCTTTTAAATGAC